CATATTTTTTCTAGTTAGTGTACATCCCAAGATCAATATCTATACAAGTTTGGTTTAAGAAGGACTTATAATTACTTGGAAATAGACCTGCTCAAAAAACTTTAACCTGGTCACTCATCTGGAAAATCTAGGTCAGATTCAGCATCCGAAGCAAGTGTGTAGTGTTCATCCCTACATGCATCATCCATGCAAGTTTGGTCCAGGTAGGGCGTATAGTTACTTGGGAATGGACCTGCTCCAAAAACTTTAACCTGGTCACTCATCTGGAAAATCTAGGTCAGATCCAGCATCCGAAGCAAGTGTGGTAGTGTCCATCCCTTTATGCATCATCCATGCAAGTTTGGTTCAGGTAGGGCTTATAGTTACTTGGGAAAGGATCTGCTCCAAAAACTTTAACCTGGTCACTCATCTGGAAAATCTAGGTCAGATTCAGCATCCGAAGCAAGTGTGGTAGTGTCCATCCCTAGATGCATCATCCATGCAAGTTTGGTTCAGGTAGGGCCTATAGTTACTTGGGAATGGACCTGCTCCAAAAACTTTAACCTGGTCACTCATCTGGAAAATCTAGGTTAGATTCAGCATCTGAATCAAGTGTGGTAGTGTCCATCCCTAGATGCATCATCCATGCAAGTTTGGTCCAGGTAGGGCTTATAGTTACTTGGGAATGGATCTGCTCCAAAAACTTTAACCTGGTCACTCATCTGGAAAAATCTAGGTCAGATCCAGCATCCGAAGCAAGTGTGGTAGTGTCCATCCCTATATGCATCATCCATGCAAGTTTGGTTCAGGTAGGGCGTATAGTTACTTGGGAATGGATCTGCTCAAAAAACTTTAACCTGGTCACTCATCTGGAAAATCTAGGTCAGATTCAGCATCCGAAGCAAGTGTGGTAGTGTCCATCCCTAGATGCATCATCCATGCAAATTTGGTTCAGGTAGGGCCTATAGTTACTTGGGAATGGACCTGCTCCAAAAACTTTAACCTGGTCACTCATCTGGAAAATCTAGATTAGATTCAGCATCCGAAGCAAGTGTGGTAGTGTCCATCCCTAGATGCATCATCCATGCAAGTTTGGTCCAGGTAGGGCTTATAGTTACTTGGGAATGGATCTGCTCAAAAAACTTTAACCTGGTCACTCATCTGGAAAATCTAGGTCAGATTCAGCATCCGAAGCAAGTGTGTAGTGTTCATCCCTACATGCATCATCCATGCAAGTTTGGTCCAGGTAGGGCTTATAGTTACTTGGGAATGGACCTGCTCCAAAAACTTTAACCTGGTCACTCATCTGGAAAATCTAGGTCAGATCCAGCATCCGAAGCAAGTGTGGTAGTGTCCATCCCTAGATGCATCATCCATGCAAGTTTGGTCCAGGTAGGGCTTATAGTTACTTGGGAATGGATCTGCTCCAAAAACTTTAACCTGGTCACTCATCTGGAAAATCTAGGTCAGATCCAGCATCCGAAGCAAGTGTGGTAGTGTCCATCCCTAGATGCATCATCCATACAAGTTTGGTTCAGGTGGGGCGTATAGTTCCTTGGGAATGGACCTGCTCCAAAAACTTTAACCTGGTCACTCATCTGGAAAATCTAGGTCAGATCCAGCATCCGAAGCAAGTGTGGCAGTGTCCATTCTAGATGCATCATCCATGCAAGTTTGGTCCAGGTAGGGCTTATAGTAACTTGGGAATGGGACTTGCTCCTAAAACTTTAACCGGGACGCCGACGCTAACGCCGACGCCGGGGGTATAGCATAAGCTCATCTCGACTTCGTCGAGGTGAGCTAAAAATTATTAATTTGCTTTGGTTCAGATATTTTCCGATTGTTGATTTTGATCGAGAACGGCTTTATTTCAATCGGGATTGGTTTAAATTTTTTTTAAATGGGGGAGGGTCTCTTTTCTTGCATTTTTTTTTTCAAATAAAACTTACTTTTATTTCCTTTCTATAAGTGACACTATCGTAAGTACGTTTTCATAGACTTAACTGCAAGTATAGAAAATATTAACAAATATTGTTTTTAATTTGCATAATTTATTTATTTATTTATTTATTTTTAAAAATATGTCTAACTCTTCTTGAATTTTTTAAATATAATATTGATATTATTAAGAGCAAACTTTCTAAACTTTTAAATTTCTAAAGTGTTTTATTAGCAAAATTTATATTCTGTCGGGAAAAAAAAATACACCCCCCCCCCAAAAAAAACCCTGTAGAAACAGACTAGGGTAACGCACTTTACCCTACTCCGTTTCTACACAGTGAACACATATGAAATGATTAACACACACGAGCGAGGGTGTGCCCCTAAAAAAATCCTATTTTAAATAATTCTTAAGATCACAACCTATCAAAATATCATTATTTTATTTAGGGCAGACATGTCTTGAAGGATTTCTTGGCCAAAATTCATGCAAAAATCGGTGCTTTAACGGGGAAAATATTCTCTTAGCCATCATTGCAGGTTAATTTTAATAAATTTAGGTTCAAAATGCATTAAAAAATTTAGACAAAAATAAAAATTCGACATCAGTTTTGAAATGTGACTTTTTCGGGAAATTGTTCTCTCCTATGTGTCAATATTCTGATGAAATACGTCCTTTCAGCACCTTCCCAGGAACAGCTGAACCAGTTTATGTATAGATGGGTTGAGACATAAATTGTGAATTTCGTGGTCCAAAACCACCAAAATTAATGCAATCTTTAAAAATGCTACCTACTTCTATACATAGCAGGCAAATAGCTGGTATGATTATGGGATGATCAGCCCTTCACAAAATTGTGAATTTCATGGCCTCTGGGTTCTGGCCCGAGCTAGGCTGGGCTAAGTTGGTCATATACTGGAAATGTATTATATCTTTCATATTTTTTTACTTGTAGACTTTTAGATAAACTGAATAACTATAATAATGAGTATTACATTCCCCCCCCCCCCCCCCCGTCCTTCTTTCAAGCCTTAAATTAGGTTAGGATATATTGAAAATACATTACATTTTTGAAAATCTTTTTCTACTCATCGGCATTAAGAAAGCAAACCGATTCCAATATTATTATACTAGTATACTTTGCTTTCTACCACACTTGCAAAAATTCATGACCTCCTGGCCCACTGTTCAGGCTCCAGGTATTTTTCCAAAATACAAACAACAAATTTAATACACAAATACAATTTTGTTTTGTTTCTTTTATTCAAATTGAATGCTTATACATTGAATACTAATACATGAGTACCTTCTGCCAGATACAACATCCTCACATCAGATACAAGTAGCTGTCTACAAAAAAGAACCATCATTTATTCTGCCAAGCAAGTATGCTTCACATTTTTTATTTGTATATTTATGAACCAATCTCAGTAACCCAGTCTCTAACACATCTTCTTAAATCTTTAATGATGATCTCCAGCAATGATATCCTAGTCCAATTGTAACACTTTGTACTCATGACATTTAACATTTACCAGTTTGCCAAATGCTAGGACACTGCATATCTAATTTTGGTCCAATTCATTACACCCTCTGCAGATGGAATCACCACATTGAGAAAAAACACATAAGGCAGTTGAAATTCAAACAGGATTTAAACTCTAGGATTTTGGATGACAACAGAAATACTACCTCACTTATAAAACATACTGCATATTTAGAATATTACCCTCCAATATATTTTAGGATTTTTTCACATACTTACTTATTTTTCTTTCTTTTACTTTTAATTTATCTCTAAGTTCCCCAGTGTTTTGGCATGCTACCTCCCACATCCAAAGCATTTCAAGTGAAACCCAAGCAACTCAGTCAAAACATTTGGGCTGGGGGGGAGGGGGGGGGGGGGGTAAATGGTATTTTGAATGTTGTAAACATGCATTATACATATCTACAAAATATCCTAAATAGGCAATTTACATGTACCCTTTATAAGATTTATTTAAATCCCTTGATCTTTTGACTCCTTAAATTTCAACTCTCTTCTTCCTACATATACACTTACCACCTCTTTACTGCCACAACTCTGTAACAAATAACGAAGGATAATAAATCCCTCAGATTACTTTTAATGCTACATGCATTTTTTTTAACCCTGCATCAATAAAGGCATATCTTAAAGGCAGAGATTTTAAGCACCGCCTTCAAAAAAACTTGGTCTGTGTACCCCTGTCAATCAAGTGCATAAAGGTACATCATTGGATGCTAGAACTTGATTGACATTTACTTACTAGTCCCTGTGTATACCCTGTACACTTTGTTTGGCACTCGTGGTGACCTTCAAATTAACTTTTGATCCTCTGATATTTACCACACATGGTGTAAACAATAGAGAAGCTGTATTACTATAGAATTTTTAGCTTAATAATATATATTCATACACACCTTTAGTATTTGAAATAAGTATGATATTCTTTATGATAATATATATCAAAATTTGGTATAACTTTTTTTTAAAGCTCCACAAATAATTTGAATAATAATATTTTTTTTGATGGGTGGGGATGTTTGACAATCATTCAATAACAAATTGCTAAAAAATATTGAGATTTAACTTTATTTACAACTTTTTATTTCTAATTAAAAATAATCTCAAAATCCCAACACAGGTAAAGTTCGACTTCTTGGGTACTCTACTGTGTATTAAATCACTTCCTGTGTATAGGGATTAGGAGACAAATGACCACAGGCAAACTGCTAGCCCTCAAGGCATTCACACCTGTACAAAATAAGCCCCTCCCTCACCTGGAATTTACCACCCGGTAAAAAATCTCTGCCTTTAAATGCAAGAAAGAGCCATAGCTGCCTTACCGATGACACGGCCGACTCAAGAATTTAAAAGGAAATCACCTGTTTCTATTTATAGATATACTGTACCTTTTCAATTCATGAGCAAACTATGTAATATGATTTGAGGACGAGTGTTGCAAGTATGTCAAATGACAATCATTTTACTTGTTCAATACTCTAATTCTGAGACAAAAGATTTACGCAGAAAATCAATAAAAATAAAACAAGTTGCTATGAATTTGCAAACTTTAATTAAATAGCTAAGGACTGTCTTTTCCCGAGATACTTTCAAAGTGTAATTGTATATTATATCTTTCTGAAATTGTGCATGTTATAAAACATAATAAAGAAAAACGTAGAAAAGATACACAAAGAAAAAAAATTTTTAAAAAAAAAACAATGGAAAAATGTGGGGCTCGAACTCGCAATCACCATATTTACATTCCAGCAATCATACCGCTGCGCCAACGAAGTCAATGATGTCAAGCTGATAAATTTAAGACAGGTTGCTAAATCTTACGATTATATGAGAAGAAAAATTAATATATATTTTCATCATTTTCAATATGAAGACCACCTTTAACCAAAATTATCTAAAGGGAATGAAGTGCAGACATATCCAAATAAAATTATTCAAAAGTTGTTTTTCTGGTTAAGGATGGTCTTTGGCAACAGTTTGTCATCGTTAGGTGGATACCTCAATATTTACTATATATTCTATACAAAAACTGGATAATTTTCAAATTTATCATATGAGGGAACTATTAACATTTAAATATCATTATTGTGTGATTTGGTTTTACGCATGTATAAACTAAGACTGTATGATAAAATTTTGGTTAAAAATGTATTCAAGAAATCACTAGTAGAGTAGGTGAAAATGCCTATCAAATGCGCTATGGCTCTTTAAATATACAGTAGCAATCTAAAAGAACGAATGGCATTTTCTGTAAGTAAATATCCATTATCAATATTCTACTGCATGCAAACCTTGAACTTCTGTCCCCGATTATTTTTCGTTTTTATTCTGACCACTGAACTTCCTACTTTACTGTAAAATCTAACCATTGATTGGAATACAATTACCTTTACCCTCGTCTTCTAATTCCATACCACTCAGTCTTCATTTTTCAACTCCAAACATTTTTATCTTCATAAATACCTAGTATTTTCTTCATACATTTTCTTCCCTACATTCTCAATTTTCAATCTTCATCCCCTACTCGAATAAATTTTCTTCATTTCTGACCAATTCTTCATCCCTACTTCTCAATTTTTCTTTCTTCACTTTTCAAATCTTCAATTACTCTTCATAACTGAAGATACCCAAACTTCTCTTCATTTTTCTGTCTTCAAACCCTTATGAAAAGGTAAAGAATACAGATCAGTATACATGGCTATTTATTGACAACCACATCTACATTGTAATTAAACAAAATGTCATAATTAAAATCAGACATAACACTACCGGTATCTTGATAACTGGTTGTAGGACAAGTACATAAAAATTCACTACTAAGCACAAGGATGTACTTATGTGGTTGGATTATAACAGAACATTCAAACAAATCTGATACACAGATTTATAAAGTGTTTTAAATCTCACTGAATGCAAAATGCAGTTATAATGATTATTCAACTTATGCCACAGCTTTAAATATATACTTGCAAATTCAAACATTTCATATTTCCTTCATTTTTACAATACCAGTTGCAAATGAGGCTTCATACACCAAAATAACTAAATAAAACTCACAGGCAAAAACTTCTACTTAAATCACTTTTCAAGCCATATTTACTTAAATAGCTATTCAGACTGTCAAAAATATTTCTATCCAACATTTCATAAATCTTAATTGTCATCTTGCATTAAAAACTGAATAGAAAGTAAACATGGTCACTTACAATAATTCTTTGTCTCAAAATTTTGATTATGGTACTTTGTTTCCCATCTTGAACATTTCAAAATGGATATCTTGAAAATCTTAAACATTAAAGTGTATTTAGCCTCTATATGCTTGCCTGTTACATATCATGAAATAACACACCAGTTAAAATAAAGAATATGAACAAAAGTTACAGATTTAATTTTTTTTTTCTTTTTTCCTTTTTTTCAAATGTCAAAAGTCTCATCATTTGTTGATGCAATTTACAAATTGCTTTCTGTTTGTTTACAATAACACCTCCATATTTGATCATTTTTAATGACTCTGTTGTATACCTCCTCAATAATAACCTCCCCCTGGCAAAGAAACAAAACACCAACATTTAAACATGACAGCATCAAAGATTTCCCTCTCAAGGACTATAGAAAAATGATACATGTATGATGAAAATGAAATTATGGTAGAGAAATGGAAAAGTCATTTCTGCAGTTGTCAAACATTGTAGTTTACTCAAAATAGCAACCCCAGAAAAAAAATTAATTAAAAATACAACCATAAAATATGTAAATCCCCAATTCACTACAACAGCTTAATGGATGTAATTGCAAGAAATCTGAAAGGATTTCAGATCCCTTAAAGTTTTCAAATGCAGAAATCACCCTTTAAATGATATCATACTTAAAATGTGATTTTGTAATTATAAATTGAAGAACCAGAGTTAAATCTGATTAAAATCTGAATTATTTTATCAAAACTCTAATTTCGATAATGCTATTTCTATAATAACCTAAAGGGAAAAAAGCAAATTTCTTTTTGTTAATGATAGAGGAATCTGAAAAATCATCTACAAAATGTATTTTATCTGATGAATGAACATTTCCATGCATTGATGATAACTGTGCAACATTTTTTTCTAAATGCTGATGGTTATCTTAACTCAGATGAGCTGAAATATCACTAATAATCTGAAGACTTATAATGACACTACATTTAATATATCAATGACTGAGATGAATTTATAGGACCATATGAAATAGACATGAAGCAGGGAGGGATTTTTCATGCAACAATATATCTAATCAAACCTTTGGACTACTTACTTGGGCTGTATGACCGTGATCTTGACCTGGATCTGGAATATCTACTACCACGGCTATATCCCCCTCCTCTTGAATATGGGGAAGGGGATCTCCTTCTATAGCTGGACCTGTCCAATTACATGGTACAATTCCATCACTTTTAAATACCTGGAATTTCATGCTACTAAATATTCTAAAGTTATTGATGTATTGAATCAAAAAAAAAAAAAAACCATTTTAACTTTGAAGATTATCTCTGAAGAATAATCAATTAAATCTTATTTTTCTTACATCATGTTTATGGAGTTAACTGCAAACATCAGACATTTCTTTCTATTATTTAAATCAAAATAGGTTAAACTTTTCCACAAAAACAATTTAATTACTTTAACTCTACAATTACATGTATGACGAAACATGCACAGTCCCAACATTGAGAACCAGCACAATTTGCTGAAGAAAATTTATCGATGAGATACTAAACATATGTAGTAGGTTTGCCGAGATAAATCTGGATGAGATACTTAACATATGTAGTAGGTTTACCGAGATAAATCTGGATGAGATACTTAACATATGTAGTAGGTTTGCCAAGATAAATATATGGATGAGATACTAAACATACGTAGTAGGTTTGCCAAGATAAATCCCAGGTGTGGGAGTGTGGGCTCTCGTTGTGATAGAGAAATCCACTCTAATTCTTCGCCCATCTATCTCCATCCCAGGGCCCCTGTCCTTTGCCTTCAATTGAAATAAAATGAATAAAATAAAAGAATACTTTTATTGCATTTCACGGTGCTCAAAATCACCCAAGCAGGCACTCAGTTCAATGAATAGTATAAGCAACATTTCAAATATCTGTTGACTTACAGCATATAAAAAGGAAGCCAATAAATAAACATTTACTGTTGTTTTAGTGTGATTTTAAACCTTACTTTTTTAACATTTTCATTCTTTTTATAATCTGTATTTGAAAACAGTTTATCAAGGTAAACTTGAAAGTGAGATCAATTCCATTACCTCAATAGAATCTTCAATGTTTCTGAAGTGGATGAAAGCAAAGCCTCTGGATCTTCCAGTCTGAGGAGAGTAAAAAAGAAATGTTTAATGCCTATACAAATAAGCATCTGTTTTTAGTATACAGGTGACTCTTCATTGCTTGAACTTTTGATCTCTCGAAGTTCTTGATCTCTCAAAGTGAGTCTCCAGTCCCAATCGTTTCTCCTATATGTTAATTAGTCAATTTTTTTCTTGATTTCTCAAACTCTCCAAACCCTTGATCTCTCGAAGAAAAGAATATTTAAAAACTTGGAAGTCCCTATCTCTCACAGTTTTACCATGGTCATTGGCTTTGAGTTATTGAGAGTCACAGGTATACAAAATTAAAGTATTTTTCTTTCAGACTTATAAGACAGGTACTAAATTGCCCTTCTGTCAATTAAGTAAAATAGAAAATGCATCCAATATATTTCATTTCCATAGCATATATTCACCTGACTTGTTTGATAATCTAAAATTTGAGTCCTACCTGTCTATCATACACAACTTGTACATCTTCTAATGGACCAAATCGACCAAAAACTTCTCGCAAGTCTCGTTCCTGGGTGTAGAGACTCAGACCAAAGATACCCAAACATTTAGTTGGCTCTGGATTGTCCTAACAAAGATAACATCACTTAAGCACAATGACTACACTGTAAACATTCTTTTATAAGGAAGAAAACAAATAAGACTGTTGAAAAGAGTTTTCAGTTTGAAACATGCAAATATTTCAGATTCCATGAAAATCATACTTGCTTAATTAGAAAGGTAAAAGCAGATCCAAATCGTTTTTTTTTTTTGGGGGGGGGGGGGGGGATTTTCACTCTTTTATTGAGCTTGCTTTCTCCATTAATATAATGAGAACTCATACTGTACTTACTTCCTTTCCTACTACTAAAATCAAATAATTTTTACTATTGAGTGGTCAGTCATGTTATTCAAAACAAAAAAATTTACTCATCAAATGATACATTTCCATGGACAAGTTCATTAATGTAAGTAAAGAAATACTAGTCACAATTTTTGAAACAACTACAAAGCAGCTTCTGGTTTTTTTTTAGAAGACAATACTCATCTTTAATTTCAACAATTTTCAATTAAATGACATCAAATGTTTCAATGACCTTGTATTGGAGGTTAGACAATTCTTGCATTGCATCTCAGAGATTTTCTTGTTTTCATACAGGAAATGGTAGATTACAATTTATTCTTTGTATGTCAATTGAAAAAATTTGTTTTATGCGAAATATATGCATTATCATCTTCATAACAATTATTATCTTTGGATCTCAGGATAATGGTTTGGCCTGATAGGGAAAAAATCTGTTAGCAATGAAAACTAACTAGTCCATTGGGCATATCTGCTTCATACACCACTGGTCAAAGGCCAAATTTTACCGGGCCTTGGCCATGGACCTACTTTTCCCCCCCATCCTTGCTACCTTGCCTAGAACACTTTAATCTAATACTGGTCACTTACCCTGTTTCCAGTGTGTCTTCTTCTGTTGGACATGGGGGATGTTTCCTACAATGTGGAATGAACAATAAATCTTACAAGGCACAAATCTCAAATAGCTTTCAATGCTTAATGCTGGGTATATGCATTTGATAAGATAAAATCTTGATGTAGTTTTCTACAGCTCTTCTTAATGTATTAAAGTTAATGCAATATGCTGAATGTATTAAAATTAATGCAATACTCTGAAATACTGTATCAGATTTATTTTTCAAAACATTCTTTAACTGCTGGAATTTTGTTTGCTTTAATATTTCCTCACTGATATGTTTGATTTCATATTTCTTCCATCAAAACTTTCTACATGTACAGTGAATCTTGTCTAATCCCCATATCACTGGTTCCATAGAAATTGGCCTAATTAGACAACATTCCATATTAAACAACATATGAAACAACTGCTTTTACTGAAAGGGCCTTAAAGTTTATATTGCATTAGGCAAGATTTCGGAATACACAGCATCCATATGAGACAAGTTTTTCTTGTATATATAAACATTCTGGCAGTTTCCTACCTTCCCCCTCCTTCGCCTGGAATACCCTGGAGATCGGCTGCGACTTCTGTATCGACTGCTGCGGCTCTCTCTGTAATAGTCTCTGCTTTCTCTGTAATAGGGAGACCTCCCACGGCTATAGAGAGAGAAGTTAATTAAACTTACAGTATGTCACACAATCAAACATACAAAGGATGTGTCAGACAATTGAGGAACTTTTTTTCTGAGTTTAAATGTAACCAATAAAAGCACTTCAAGCATTTCTTTGCAACTTACCTTCTGCTCCTTGAGCTGAAAATAATTAGAATAAAATAATTATCTACCATCTAGATCTAGGTAACTTTAATTGACACAGAGTTCTTTAACCTACGGTAAGACATAACTGAAGGAGTTAGCTCTCCTGGCCAATATTACTATAAGTATTTTGTTTTTCCAAGTGTATTTAATATTTCTTCTAGGTTGTTAAACAGTTATATAACTAAAATATTGTTACTGCCATTACCTACATGCCAACTTTTTAAAGTTAATAAATTATATGATTTTAACAAACATCTTCAATCATATCTAAATTTTTTTTACAAATCAAAATGAATACATCCGGTTAAACTCACTATCGTGATCTTTTGTGATAGCTCCTAGATCCTGATCGTGACCTTGAATAGCGATCTCTGTGATATGACCTGCTCCTGGACCTGTTCATGTAAAAACAAATCGATGTAAACTGATTTGATTCCTGACATTATTTGCAAATTATCAGATCCTGCTGGAATATCACATATACATTTATCAACTGGGCTATTGCATGAGGTTCATAGATGCTCTGATAAGAGAAATCACCCTCACTGGAAATAATGACTATTATAATCTTTAAAAAAAAATGTCATTTTAAAAGGCCATTTCTGTCAGTTTTTGCTGAAATTGCTTACATTTCCACTATAATTTAGATTTCTTTTGGAATCCAAAATATGTGTTACTTAAAACTTCATTTGTGAAAAAAAAAAGCTGTAAGTTAGTCATGGGAGTAATTCCTTGCCTTAAAATTACCTCTCAACATAAAATGGTATCTTTTTTGGTCAATGGTCGTGGACAACAGAGGTGAAGTGAATTGATTTAAGTTTGTATATCTCTTCAATACCAATATAAAATCATTAGACTATGAGGGAAAGGTTTTGGGGATATTTTACAACTTTAAAATAGGATTTGTTTTTTTTTTTCTGAAATACTTAATAGTGATTTTGAGGGTTGTTTATAACCTCAGTTATACTTTCAATTCATCCCCTTTTAATTAAAAGAGAGAGAGAGAGAAAGAGAGAGCAATATGGACAAGAAGAACTCAAACAAAATTCTGTATTAGAAAGATTTGTTATGACACACATTCATCTGCTACAAGTTAAAAACATTACTATATAGAATTTGATACATCATAAAGATTAATTAAATACAATAATATAAGCTTACAAAACTTCCTTCATGGGGTATATGTTCTACCTTTTGTGTAAATATATGTTCACATAACATGATCTACATTAAATGTTCTACCTTTTACGGCCTCTTGAGTGTGACCTGGACCTAGATCTGGATCCAGAATAATGTCGTGAGGAGCGTCGATATGGTGACTTGGATGCAGATTTGGACCTGGAGTCCCTGGATTTGGGGGATCCTTTTTCATTTGATGGAGATCTAGAGTGCGAATAGGAGCCATCAGATTTTCGTGACCCCTCCGACTCCCTTGAACGGGACCTTGACATTCGTAGCTGCAAGAAAATAAAATAGTAATCAGCCATGGCTGTTAGGTAGGACATACCTAAAGAAATTTTGAAAGGTCTAAAATTTTATAGATAATTAAAGAAGAAGTTAAGCTTCCCTTTGTTAAAAAAAATTAATAGAAGCTAGATATATATAGTCCAGACCGGAAAGAAATTTTGTAGTGCGACACTAGGATAATTAGAGAGAATGAAAATCAAAAACAAAGAGTTCTGATTTTTGTTTTTAAGAGTGTCGAGATTTGCATCACTTCCATAATTTCTACTTTGACATTTCAAATTCTTGTAGCATTTTTCATGTTTGATGATGAATACTCGGATTATTGTGGAATGCCTGCGCAATTAAATAGCACCAATAAAGACAAAAATATCTACCGAAACAAGATATCATGACACATTTTGTTGAAAATCAAATGTAGTAGGTATATGACATTTTAGGCCAGATATCGAAGAGGGGTCCAGTGTTAACAATTTATGGAAGTGACTTACGTCAGAGCTCCAGATAAGGTGCGTATCTGCAGAAATACACATTGAATTTTACAAAATTCGCATTGAAAATTAAAACTGGGCGTACAGTTATGCATTAGCAATCGTAGATAACACCACGAAAGTACTGCATGCGATGGTTTGAATAAAAAAGTACGACTTAGCTAATGATATGAATTGAGATTAATTTTAACTCAGTGTTTGATTTTTCTCAAAACGAAATACTGATTTAAAAGCGTTTTATTAACCAGGAATTTTCAAGTAATGGCAACGACGACTTCCATTTATGGAGAAAGAATCAAAGATTTAGGTTGAGAGAAAAAAAATCTTCATTAATATGGCAAGTTGAGAGAAATCAGATGAATCCATCATGAAAAAAACTGTGTGTAACCATCCTACTAAACAGAAAACTCTAGAGAATCTAAGGGAACTCTTGATGCGTAATGTCCCTCTACAACAATTTATTTATTTATTTAATTGGTCTTGAAATTAAACAGAGCTCATTTTTTTTTTGATATGGTTTTAATATGGTCTTCACTGGGTTTTTTTCCCCTTACACATCATGTCCTCTTTGCAGGGTTGGCCGGAAAATACCAGTGGTGGGAATTACCAGTGGTAATTACCCGTATTTCCCATCCCGGGAAATACTACAAATTTTCTCTAAACTGGGAAATACTGGGAAATACAAAGTTAGTTTTTTATTTCTTTAATTCATTCAATCTTATATAAAATTCTAAAATAAAATAAATTAAAACCAAAAAAGATGAATAATATGGAATATGTCTCAAATTGCAATTTAACATACAGGTAACTCTCGATACCTCGAAGTCCGCGGGACCGAGGAAAAACTTCGAGAGATCAAGAGTTCGAGTTTTCAAGAGTCCGGAATTTTCCGGGTTTGTTGACAGGTTTTTAAATTAGTCTTACCGTATGTAATGATTTTCATGCAGTGCTAACCTTTTACACGTGGTTTATATAAAACAACGATATTTTTTCGTAATTTAGATGAATATTTCATTAAACTGAGTAAAGCAAAATATGTAAATCATTTCATGTATATTTATTTATTCTTTGTAATATGGACATCATACTACGCTTTCGTTACATGAAAACGACATTTTACCGCGTCGCATACATACATGTAGCATTGACTATAAATCCATATTAACATGATCATTGAACGGAGTTCTGTAAGTATTTGTCCAACAATAGTCATCATATTGACATTGAGGCTGTTAATGCTTTTTCATATTTCGTTTAACTTTGACACTGACTCGAAATAAAAATTAAATTAGTGTTTCGTCTTGTAATCAATTACTACTTTTCACTGACATTCCGTCTCTGAATCATCGTAAGACAGTCGATGATAATTATTTTAATAGCATATAGGCAAAAATGATTAATTATAAATCAATTATCACCTTGCAGCATAAGTGTCACCTGAATAAACATCCCGTTCCTCGAGACCCGCGTCCTCTGCCTGGGGCCATTTAAATGTCCAGGTAAAGGTGCCAATTATATAACCTTGTATACACATAGCCACTTCGAGCTATCGAGGGTAAAATCTAATAGAATATGCATAGCGGGACTGAATTTTGACTTCGAGGGATCAAGGGTTTCGAGAGATCAAGAGTTCGAGAAATCAAGAGTAAATTTGCTTAGTTATATAGGGGAAAAATTCGGGACCGGAGACTCACTTCGAGCGATCAAGAACTTCGAGAGGTCGAAGTTCGAGCCATCAAGAGTTACCTGTATTCAGAATGTATCACTACTCCAGGTCCCATACCCATAAGGTCTCTGAAACATTTCCCTGGTGGTATAAAACTGAGGTTTTCCAATTCAAGTTTCTTTTCACGTTTGTAAAATTATTAAGTTTATTAATGTTAAATCCAAGAAAAAAAATTGTTTTAATCCTTCTGTAAACACTGTAATTATTACAAACAATCATGTTGTTTTAACAAATTGCTCTGAACAGTTTTGTGCCCATGTTTTGAGAGATAATTACCTTGTCAATGAGTAGAACTGAAAGGCTTCTTCTTCTTAGGTTTGATATTTATACCATACTCTACATTTAAGAATTTTCTCAGATCCTTCTTTAGTTACATAAAAAACCCAATTGGGATCTTTTGGTTCATTTCATGTACCTGTATAGACTACATCTGACTCAAGCATGAAACAAATGCCACTCATGACTGGTATATGAGTATGCTGTGTTATGATTATATAAAATGAATTACTTGGAAACCAGATTTTTTTAAATCAGGGACAGTGATACCAGGTAGATATCTTAGCCAATAAGGTGTACTACATGTCAATATGAATGAAATATGTAGCTATTTCTTATTTCCCAGTATTTCCTGGGAAATTCCCGTAATTCCCGGTAATTACCAGTATTTCCCACCGTCCTGGGAAATATGAGTATTTCCCAGTTTTTTGCCAACCCTGCCTCTTTGATAACATTGCAGTACAAACTTTTTTTCTCCAGCTAAGACTTTATTCCTCCAACTATCGTTTGTTTTCTAGGTAACATTGTTTTCTTTACTTATGTATTACACTTGTTACAATATCATCTTACATAGACGACACATGCTTTTGTGTGCATGCTTAAAAGTACATGTAACTATGCCTAGTGCATAGTCTTTCTATTTAAAAAAATCGATTTTTGTTACGATATCATCTTAAATAAAGGAAAAGTTTTATGTGCCTATGGTAACTTTACCTACTGTATAATCCTCCTTCTCAAAAAAGAACATTTCTCAGTTTTAGCAAAAAGTCTTATGGATATTTTTGAAATTTATTTAAAAGAATGCAGGAACTGTCCTTTGCAGTTTTTTTTCCTTTCCTCTTCTAAAACACATATTTCAATAAGTTCAAAATCAAAATAGATGTCAAAACATTATATATTAACAAAATACTCTTAAATCATCAGCTGATCATGATCATATTGCTGAAAATCAAAATCTGCATTGATCTGAAAATCAGGGAGTAAATACACTTTGGGGTAAAAAATTCTCTGGAGCTCTGCTTACCTTCTCTATTTCATAATACTGCAGGTATGATTTCTTAATAAAATGTTAATTCTATGTAATTTTTTGGATTTTTCATATGGAAAACATTGTAAATGTGTACTAGAAGATGAATTTATGGAAAAAGACAAATAAAAATATCCATAGACCCAGGGCGTATATTCAGGTGGGGGTGGGGGGGGGGGGGTTCCTGTTCACATGCACCTAAGACAGAACTGACCCAACAAGTTTTTGAACCGTGACAGTCCTAGTCACAGACAAGTTCCATTTAATGTGGCTGGCAGTTTCAGGCCTTGTTGATTTTTTAGTATAGAGGGGTAGACGTCATCTACGAAATTAGATGGGGAGTGCATATATGAATTTTACTTCATTTATTTGGTTCCCAATAAAGAAAGCATGGAAATTATTCCATTTGAGTTGATATTTTACAGATATCGAACTAGCCCATACTTTTGTGACCAGTGACTCGAGGAGTTTCAGTTTCGGAACGTTGCATATTTTACCTATGTATCACTGTATGCACTTTCGATTTTGATTGTTTTCACACGCCTCTGATTACACCCATTCCATAATGGATGACGATCAAAGTAAAAATAATTATCCAAATTATTAAGTCCAATAAACATTAAATGCAAAAGCAGCATGCAATATTGGTTTCAATTAACATGATTAATCACTAAATCAGTTTTTTCTCGGTTTTCCTTGGAATCAACGACCACGCCATTCTACAAAGTTCTTTTACACTCCTAACCAAAATATTTGCACTGCTTAGTGGTAAAATTTGAAAGAAAAACGTGTAAAATACTCACCTCCCCGTTTTCACTCATTACTATTTACTCAATCACCCGCAATTTTTAAGAAATTGGATAATTTTACACACAAAAGTTCTACTAAATGCAATATGGCGCTTCCCACGTCGTTAAAACGTTTCGGTGTGCTGTTAATTTCCTGTGCGTATGCTTTGCACCCGGGTGTTTCAGTTCAATATTTGGAGATATTGTCGATAAGTGGAAGGGAAACGAAATAAATTGAAGGGTTATGATATCATGATGTTAACATATTTAATTTTTTTTAACTTCCTTTTAAAAAGCTTAAAATGCCCTTTTTCAATTTTGTGTTTGTGAGTATAATTTGTCTTTAGTATTCTCAGAGTATAAGGGTACGTTGAATTGAGTCAGCAAAGTTATAAATATAGTCCTGTGTTTTGTCAGAAATTTCAGTCAGAATTCTTTTAGATTTGATTTTAAATCATAAACTTCTTAAACAAATATACACATATGAGAGGGAGTAACCCTACATGAATGTCAGACACTTCGGCCCGACGACACCTCGGCCCAACGACATCTCGGCCCATTGACACCTCGGCCCCAACGGGTCGGCCCAAGATTTGAGACACCTCGGCTCACGTAAAAGACACCTCGGCACAAACAAAAATGTATTATTTTAAACATATTTATTTGATATTTTCTTAAGTATTTTATTATTATAGGGACTATATGCGACGGATTATATTATTATATATATCCATGAAATAAAAAAGAAAATAATTGAATAATCTTCCGAGAGTAAATTGACGGTAATTAAAAAAAAAAAATTGTCTATCACATAGTGCTAATCGTTAAACAAACAAGAAGACGCAGCGCATCCTTCGAAGTCTCAAGCGCGTGTCATATGGGGTGGTGACAATGAGGAGTTAATTACGAGCAGGCTAATTAATCCAATTGTTGGGTACAAACCACATATCTTCCTTGGTTGGTTTAGGGAAATATATCCATTATGCTCTAATATTACGCAAAGATCTATCAGGTTAACGTAACTTCTATATCTGTGTAAGGTTAAGTTGAGTATATAAATTAAAAAAAAAAAAGAATCAATTAAGACATCTTATTGATCAGGACAGAATACCTAAGGACATATGCTACTGTGCACTGGTTTATAAATATAATTATTATACATAGTTAAGTGTACAATACGCCCCTACTACAAAGTGATTTTTAAGTAAAAGAATTCTAAATATTATGAAATGAATAAAGTTGCATTTTCATAAGCAACAAAATAAATAAATAAATAGATCTCCTATCTCCCACTCAATAAATACAGCAGCTGACATCTATGCTGTCGTTCGTTCAAAAATTCTGAAATTATTTGCCCGTTTATCGTATACATATCGTCATTATAAACATACATACATTTATATTACCATAGTGAATACAGATAATTATTCTAAAAAAAAAAATTCCTTGGGCCGAGGTGTCTTTAGTATGGGCCGAGGTGTCAATAATTTTGGGCCGACCTGTCAGGGCCGAGGTGTCAAGCACGACGGGCCGAGGTGTCGTTGGGCCGAGGTGTCTGTCTACCCCCTACATGACCCCCACCCCCACCCCACACTACCGCCATCAATAATAATTTGATTTTTTTTCTTATTTTAAGGTATAAAATATCAATTTGAAACATATTCTGCATTTGTATTTACAAATGATAAATGTGAAATTACAATTTATCAAAAATTTGTTTAAAATTACAAATTAATAAATTAAAAAAAAAATAAAGTTAAGATTGTTTTATTTCCTGATTTAAAATTTACTTTTGTCCCTCTTTTAATTATTTTTCTTTTAATTTGCATTTTAAAATCGTTACAATAATCCTTGACAGGAGCTGCCTTTGGATAAGTATATTTCTAAGTCCCCTCATCAAATGCAGGAACCCTAAGGATCATGTTGTTCGTCCGTCTGTTTGTCCATCAATACTTTTGTTGTAGATAACTCAACAAGTTTTTGTTACCTTTATGCAAAAGTAGCTGACCATAGAAGGGAAATAATTCTGGGGTTTTTTTTAAGGGGTTGGGGGGGGGGGGTCGTGGTCTTGGCAAGAGTAATGATATGTATTTTGCAAATCAAAATCCCAAGTTTGAGTTTCGGCAGACATAAATTTAATGTTTACCTCATGTTTAATGTAAAATCAATTTTATATTTATTTTAATTTTACAAAAACGAAGAAGAACCACCATACTTAGTAATTCAGTCATACTTATTTCCCCGTTTCACTTCAAACTCATATGCCAGGTTTGAGGTATATGTATGTGAAAAGGTAACAATCTCATAAATCCTGTAAATGATACGAAACGTGAACAGGGAAAAAAAAACCAAAAAACAAACAAACAAAAACAAAAAAAAAACGGGCTTCTGGAAACCAGAGAGGGGATCGAATGCCTGAGAGGCGATGAACCCTCTGTATTGATCAGGTGAACAGTCCACTATTGTTCGTTTGATAAAGTCTCTTCGAGAATTTTTCACTCAGATTGAGACGCCACCACTTCCCGGTGGAGGGCTGCAAATTTAGACCTGTACTCGGCACTTACGATTTTTGAGCAGTGAGATTTTTTTCGTGCCAGCACCTACTGCGACACGGGACCTTGGTGTATACGGTCTCATTCGAAGGACCTAAAAATCCGTAGTCAACATTCGTATAAAAAAAAAATACGACACAAGGATAGTTTGCAAACAAGGGTAATAAAACAATCGTATAGAAATTGCGAAATGCTGCCTTTACAGGAGATTGTAGAAAGCCCTAATAAATCAACATATTTGTCAGTAACCTGCCTCGGTTTTAGAATTGATCGTACTCAGAACATCCTCTTGGGTACTATATGCTGGTGAAAATGGAAAGTTTATATATAAATATATAGGGAGAATTGACGATGGAAAAAGAGAAGTCATCCCATCTTTCATATATATAGTATAATTGTTAGTTTGCCATCAACGTCTCTAATAATCCTCATATGAAACAGATGTGGCGGCAGACTTTGTGGTATATTTTATTTTGAGTTCAGCAGGATTGTATCAAATAGACATAAATATTACTGCAAATGCATTTTTAAATCCATGAAATAATTGTTGCAGGGAGAATTTTCCACAAAAAAGTATAGTTTGACATTATTCTTACGAATTAATAATAAGAACGTTACCCCGGCTAAATGCTTTCCACACGATTTTAAGTTTCTTTGTACAATCGAAACCTATAGAAATTTTCCATGCTTTATCTAGCCGTTCTCTTTCTTACTTTTACAATGTTTGAAAAAGTTCTTTCGGAAATGAACTTGGTTGCAGTGGTGGATTAAACAGAGAGAGAGAGGGGGGGGGGCTCTTTTCCTAAAATCATCAAATTCAAGGTAAACCATAGAAAAGACAAAATAATTACCAGATAAAGAGATATAATGAAAAGGTTTTATATATTCCTTCAAGACAAGAGCGTCTGGGGGACCACAGGTCTTAAAATTAATGTCCGTATATTTGTTAACCTTAAGAATCATGACAAGAAGAAGTTTGAGACCTTTCATTTTCGCCGCAATAAATCTGTAGAATCTAGGAGCTTCGCCTCATGCCCCTCCCCCCCCCCCCCCCAACCACCACCATCATCACGGGTTCGCACCTAGACCCACAAAGGTCCCAAGCTAAATAGACGATCCCTAACCTAATCAGCTCAGTGATGCTCCTGTTAACCAGCTGCTAACTTAATTCAAATCCTGAATCTGCCCCTGGCCGGGTTGGTCACTTGATTAAATGAGGATTGTGAACATAAGCACTGCCTGGCTTATTTTGTAAAATAATAATATATCTACTATAAACATACAGTACATTTATGAATAATTTAATTTCGTTTGTATTCTAGCCTCTGATTGGTTAATATCCAAAAACGAACACAAATTATTTCTGTATAACCTGGTTTGGTATGGGGACACCCCCCCCCCCCCTGACAACCAGCTGAATCATCTGTATCCTTACAATCCTCTCATTTCCAGTCCTTGGGATTCATGGAAAATTCCAGATTTAATAAATGTACCTTTAACTTCAAACAATAATTCGATCTTACCACATGTAAACAAACAACAAGGCTGCTAGGCCTATGTATCAGTTTTTACCTCCCCTCGCTTCCCATCACTTCCGTAACTTCCGTTACTATGGTTGTATTATTGAGCGGCAAATTTGAACTAATAAAAAGCAACGAAATTTTACACCCATAGTTATTTAATGATTTGAAAATTAAATTATAAGGAATGACTCTAATTCTTGGCCAAATTATTCAAGTATAACCTGGTTTGGGTCAATTTACGCTGTTTTATAATCCGCTTCGCGGATTATAAAGCGTAAACTGACCCAAACCAGGTTATACTCGAATAATTTGGCCAAGAATTAGAGTCATTCCTAAATTAATAAGATTGGGCCTATTTTTACTTAGAATTTTAAAGCAGTGGAGAATGCCTATGACTATCCCCCCCCCCCCCAGTTTACTGTGTGTTGGCTAAAAATATATTTCCTAGCATAAGTCACAGTATTTCCCGTGTATAAATTCTAAAAAAAAAAAATAATTTAATTTTGTTTGTATTCTTGCCTCTGATTGGTTAATATCCAAAAAGGAACACAAATTATTTCTGTATAACCTGGTTTGGTATGGGGACCCCCCCCCCCCTGACAACCAGCTGAATTATCTGTATCCATACAATCCTCTCATTTCCAGTCTTCGAGATTCATGGAAAATTCCAGATTTAATAAACGTACCTTTAACTTCAAACGATAAATCGCTCTTACCACAAGTAAAAAGGCTGGTAGGCCTGTGTATCAGTTTTTACCTCCCCTTGCTTCCCATCACTTCCGTTACTTCCGTTACTAAGGTTGTATTGTTGAGCGGCAAATTTGAACTAATAAAAAGCAACGAAAGAACTATATACGGTAAGGGCGTATTCCTGCCCCCATAATAGTCAAATTTTCAAAATCTCTTGAAATGAGAAAAAGTGCATATATTGTATAAAATAATCCAAATTAAGACAATATATTATGAAATTGGAAAAATTAGTTGGCTTTTCTTGTCTCTGTGACGTCACAAACTATTTGGATTTCCGTTATTTTTAAAAATAGA